CTGATCCAGGGGCCACGAATTTCACAATTTTGAAAGAGGCATCCTTGATTATCATAACTATGTATTTAATGTGTTTCAATAATACCCAGGAGTAGAGAAGAAGATTTTCAAAGAATTAATGCATTTTCACTATATAATCAATAGAGCCCCACCCTAACACCAGAACCCCTGACCCAGGGGCCATGAAATTCACAATTTTGAAAGAGGCACTCTTGCTCATCATAACTATGTACTTAGTTACTGAATTTAATACCCAGGAGCAGAGAAGAAGATTTTCAAAGGATTAATGCATTTTCACTATATAATCAATAGAGTCCCGCCCTAACACCAGAACCCCTGACCCAGGGGCCATGAAATTCACAATTTTGGAAGAGGCACTCTTACTCATCATAACTATATACTTAGTTAGTTTATTTAATACCAAGGAGCAGAGAAGAAGATTTTCAAAGAAATAATGCACTTTCACTATGTGATCTATATAGCCCCGCCTAGCACCAGAACCCCTGACCCTGGGGCCATGAATTTCACAATTTTGGTAGAGGACTCAATGCTTATTACAATGATGCCAACAGTTTGGCTGCTTGATGTCCAGGAGTAAAGAAGAAGATTTTTAAAGATTGCATTAATTTTGGTGGTTTTAGCCCCACCCCTCAGGCCCCAGGGGGGCAGGGACCATGAAATTCATAATTTTTGTTCCCCTTCACCCATAGATGCTATATGCCAAATTTAGTTGAAATTGGTTGAGCGGTTTCAGAGAAGAAGCTAAAAATGTTCAAATGTTAACGCACATCGCACGCCGATGGACAAAAACGGATAGCAATAGGTCACCTGAGTGACTCAGGTGACCTAAAAATATTTATTTTGTTGATGTGTGACGTTTCAGAAGCCTTGACCCTGGGGCCATGAAATTCACAATTTTGGAAGAGGCACTCTTGCTCATCATAACTATGTACTTAGTTACTTTATTTAATACCCAGGAGCAGAGGATTTTCAAAGAATTAATGCATTTTCACTATATAATCAATAGAGTCCCGTCCTAACACCTGAACCCCTGACCCTGGGGCCATGAAATTCACAATTTCGGAAGAGGCACTCTTGCTTATCATAACTATGTACTTAGTTACTTTATTTAATACCTAGAAGCAGAGAGGTAGAATGCAATTTCACCATATAGTCAATAGAGCCCTGCCCTAACACCAGAACCCCTGACCCAGGGGCCATGAAATTCACAATTTTGGAAGAGGCACTCTTGCTCATCATAACTATTACTTATTTACTTTATTTAATACCCTGCAGGAGCAGAGAAGAATTTTTTCAAATGAATAATGCACTTTCACTATATGATCGATATAGCCCCACCCTAGCACCAGAACCCCTGACCCTGGGGCCATGAATTTCACAATTTTGGTAGAGGGCTCAATGCTTATTACAATCAAGCAGTTTGACTGCTTGATGTCCAGGAGTAAAGAAGAGATTTTTAAAGATTGCATTAATTTTGGTGGTTTTAGCCCCACCCCTCAGGCCCCAGGGGGAGGGGGATCATGAAATTCACAATCTTTGTTCCCCTTCACCCATAGATGCTATATGCCAAATTTGGTTGAAAATGGTTAAACAGTTTCAGAGAAGAAGCTAAAATTGTTCAAATGTTAATGCACATGGCACGACGCCGGACAAAAACGGATAGCAATAGGTCACCTGAGTGACTCGGGTGACCTAAAAAATCGATGTTTGGCTGCAGAATAAGATATTTGACCTGTTTATGAGAAACTGGACTGCTTACGTCAAAATTGTGGGCGGGATCACCTAAATCTCATTTGCATTTGTTGGTGTTCGACAGTGATGAAATTGACCAAGTTTAACCACAGTATGGTTTTATTATATAAATTTACATCATGGAAGCCAGCACAAGATATAAAGGTATAACAAAACATTTATTGACTAATCTTCTCGGGCAAAATTCATTTTGTCGATCTATCGATCAGTTAAATAAAGGCCTCAGACAAACAGTTTGGTTTTTGGGTCCGACAATATACATACAAATGAAAGATTATTGTAATTTATATGATTTTAAAACGAGAGAGAGAGGGAGATCGAGGGGGAGGGAGAGAGAGATATGTAACGCATATTTAATAGTATGTTTATTTCAATTGTTCAATGAACATTTTCAAAGTTTGGAAAAAAGTGGGAAGGGGCCCTGCTCCCTTGATTCTTCGTGCCTGATAAATTACTTGATTTCAGACTTGTCCACACTGACAGATAATCTGTTCCACAGTACTTGTATTAAATTGTGTCATACACATACACCGCTGACCGTAATGGGTGAAAGAATTTAGTGACAGGTAACCTTGCTGAAAAGTGAACCCTTCATCCAACACAGCTTTTTATTATTATTATTTTTGATTGAAATTCTTTTTGGACCTTTCTGTCGCCTTTTCATTCCAGTCTTCTTTTAACTTCACTAGATCCTCGACAGATAAGAAATTACAACTCTAGTAAATGTGGAATGATCTAAAGTAGAATATATGGGTAAAAAATAAATTTTACTAGGTGAAATATGAGGCTTTGTTTTTTTTTGCATAATATTATCGGCAATTTCTACAATATAAACTTATGCAGATGCAACACGCTTATATTGTGCTTGGAATTATAAAATCTGAAAATATATTGAAACATTTACCGTGCACTTGTATAAATGATTGAAAATAAAAGACTTCAGACTATTAATTAATCTGATCAGTCCTGACCAACAGTATGCAGAAGATAGGGAATTTATCCCCCCCCCCTTCTTCCAAAAAAAAAAATGTGTTGCAAGGGGACTTGTTGTGACGTCATCTTTGAGTTTATTGCGTAATTTATTTACATAGATGCAGACATCAGCTAGGCCATTTCAGTAGCAAAATAAAATAAAGGCTAGGATTTAAGCATTTTCTTTTCTGCAATAATACTTTTAGCGATTTCATTTGTCAGCTGAACATTTTTATTTTATTGCTTTAGTATATTAAATTGATCTCTTCCCTTCTTGCTGGCAACATTTGTCAAATGTAAGGCTCATTTGTATAATGAAATAATATTATAATTTTTCATTTCTATAAAACATTTTTTTTAGTTTTTATACTATTTTCATGACAAATATATTTGTGTGAGCAATATGAATATGGTCAATCAGTGATAAATTTATTTTTTAACATTATTACATGAAATACACCGTTAATATTACTCCTAGATAAGAATTTGCCTCTCGACCAACTCGGTATCCGCCACCGGAAATAGTCATGAAATATCAAAATTATCTGCAAACTACACATTCCTCGAGCAAATTTTTACCATTATTCTTGCTTGTCTTTCATCAAATTATTGTTTTATTTTGCTTGAGGGGTGTGCACTACTTCAATTTTGGGAATTTGTTGTATAAATAGTGGAAAAAATAGCAATTTCCGGAAAGAACAGATGTTTAAATCCTGTGAATACCTCTAATCAACGTACTTGCGAATTTTTGTTTTGCATATATCAAACCTACCAATCTTCTTCTACACATTCATAGTACAGTGCAGACTCGTTATTATGATGTTCATTTTGTCACGGGAAAATATTGTAATACAGCGGGTAATGTAATAAAGGTTCCCAATAAAATCCATTAAAACATCGTTTTGAAAGCTTGTTATTTTTGTGGAAGGTGTATTTTGGCCCTTTTGTTCCCTTCTTCTGTTCCAATTCTTTATTAAAACACTAACACATATATAATTTATTAACAACTTATCTTGAATAGATATCTTCATGATGATATTTCCGTTTCCTTCATTTTAAAAGAAATATGCATATTTCTCATAAAAACATCGACGATCTTCATTTATCTACCGCCATTTCCTTTTACTTTTACTTTCATTTCTGACTCTCTAGATAATGCGTTTGTATAAATTTCAATACGCCATCTTTGTTTTCAATTTATAGTCGTTACTACATAACAACAATTTTTAGCGAGTTTTTGGGTTTTCAATGAGCTTAGAGCAGCTGTGAACAACTGATGAAAGAGAGCAGTGTGACTGGCATGTTTATGGACGGAATTTGACAACATATATGTCAAAATAAATTTGATTTTTTAAATTACTAAACAGAGTTCAATTAGCAATTCATCAATTATTGATTTGAATTTATGCTGACACCTGTGAGGTAGTCCAAGCCACAATCCAAGCTGTTAAAATGTAAGTGAAGTTCAAATTTGGCCAAAATTATGTTTGATACCCAAGCTGTCCATTACCGCAGTTTAATTGCAAACGAAATTACACAACGTAATACACAAGATTAAATGTAACCTTTTATTTAATAAATTAATTTTATTTATTAACCAAAGTAAAAAAGATAAAATAAACTTTACACAGATAGATAAACTAGAGAGTAGATTTATAAATAAACAGTTTAATTGTTTAACAATGGCTTTGACATGATGTCTCCAGTTCTGCTGATCTCGCTAGAACAGGTGTGTGCAGTCAAGCGTCACTAATCACCTAATGGGTATGTAGGTTAACACTCTGTCTGAGCACAGGTGTTTCAATGTTTATTTAGCGTCTCCTTAAGTGCCTACCATTGATCAGCACTGAATAAACACGGAGTAAAAATTTTTTGGACAGAATTTTTACATCATAATACCGAGTCCCAGCATTTTCGGACATCGTAATAAACAGTCCTATTTTGTATAGATTTGTTTAGAAATGGTTTTGTGCTTTGAATTTACAACATAATAAGCGTTCTATCTTACAAAACTGTCACCGTAATAACGAGACCGTACTGTAGTTATATTTTTGCAAACGTGTATATCAAAATACGAAAAAATGTGGGCCTTCGAATAATATGTAACGTACTTAGCTTTTTGCTAGGCCAAAAATGGCACATTGTGGGTCGAGTTCTTTCTCTCACTTCAGATTCTTGTCCATTCCTGTCTCAAATGTGTCATTGTACATAAAGCAACTAGTACTGAATGGTAAATAAATACACCCTTCATTTACCTATTGTGGACAATGTCACATCTTCATCACAGGTTAAGTAATTGGATTCTTCAAGCTTCTTATCACAATTGTCTGGGAAATTTTTTTCTTCTTTCTTCAATCCCAATAGATGTGAGCGTGCCATATACATATTTGCAGAATTACGTTCAATACTTTTAACTATCACAGACTACAATAAAGAAAAAAATATGAGATCAGATCTATTTTCAGAATGGGTTTAATTTAGTTAATTTTAAAATCCTTACCAATTACTTTCAAAGAATTATATATATAGTTATAGTAATATTCATAAACTTTTGCATAAAAAAATCCTGAGGTCTAAAGGCATATCAGCTAACAGAGTCTGATGATCCTACACCTTTTAGAATGGAAGCTATAAAGATTTGATGAAAAGTGATAGAATTTAAAATGGAGCTGACTGTGACATTAATGTCTCAAATAATCTCAGTCTATGCTAAAGGCATAGAACCACTGGACCTGAACGAGATACATTGCCTCAGGTCCTTTGTCTCAGTGTCTGGTTTTGAGTTTTACTATTTCAACATAGAATCACAAAAATGTTTGTTTCAAGAAAAAAAAAATCACATAAATCCAAGTGCATAAACTAGATGCTGTCAAAAGATAGTAACACCCACACTAAGGTGTTTGCCTCTAAATGCACACTTCTTCATATTTGGGTAACCATGCAAGAAGCCACAATAATTCTCTAATTTGTAGAAAATATATACATGTATTTTGTCAAAGCAAACATAGAATGCTCAGGTGAATATGTGGCCCATGGGCCTCTTATGTAAGTATTTCATACACTAAATTCATTAGCAGTCTGAAATTACAAAATTTAATGAAAATTCTGTTTAAAAGAGAATTTATGAAAAATTAAAAAAATAATAATAAAGAAGGGGTTAAATTTTTGGACTATAATTGGAACTTGCTATTGTTAAAAAAAACCCCAAACATTATTATTTTAGATCATAGCATTTTTTTTATGAACTTTAAAAAGTTTTAGATGCCAAAATGACAACTTTCAGAAATGATTGAATTGTGCAAACTTTTATCGGTATTTGGATAGAAAAAACCCATTCCAAACCCACACCCAATCAACTTTTCAAAATCAATTACCCCCCACCCACATTTCATCTGTTTTCCTGCCATATTTGCAACAGATAACACAAAGTTATGTAAAAAAGCATTGTAGTATAACATAAATTTTATACTTGTACACCTTTTTGGACCCACGCCTGGTGTTGGACTTAACTGCGTCACCCTATGAGTACTTGTAAGTTTTACTGGTATCATTATTAGATTGCACATGGTGTACACATACATGTGATTCTTCCGGCGGGAGACAAAATCTCCCAATATTTCAACCCTCTTCCGCCACTCCCAATTTATTTTTAAAAATTGCACTAGTATAATTTATTTTATTTAATCATATGAAGCATCGTAGACTCAAAATACCTTCAGATCTGGCTCCAGGGACAAGTGTGCTAAGGGATCCGGGGCCATAGAACTTAGACGAGCTCATTTTTTATCCCAGTCTCACTTTTACAAAAGGAATTATTAGAGGAAAAGTGAGACTGAGATCAAGAGTGAGTTCATCTAAGTTTTATGGCCTCAGGGCCTGATAACTAAAGTTCAATGCATTCTTTCTGAGAACAAAAATGTACAAAATTTTTGAGCTAATTCTCCGCATTTCAAGACAGTCATATCAAAATATATCTAGCCCTTTTCCTAAAATATTGCTTTACTACATGTTTATGCTTTCAAAAAGAAATCAATCCCATGATTATTGTAAATAGACTTTTTGTGCATTTGCTTGAAACTATTTCCATGCAATGTCATTTTCTCCAAATACATTAATTGTGCTTCTAAAATGTGTAATACCAATGAAGTGCAAAATGGAATTCAAACCATTGTTTTCATTCACTTTATTTTTTTTTAAGCAAAAATTGAATTTCTAAACTGATTTTAATTCTTTCACTTTAAATTACCCCAAATCCAAGTACATCATACCCACTTCAATCATCACTTTATGAGTCCATCAGTTATGCCTGTCCGAAGCAGCCGTGTAGGAAAATGTCTTATTTAAAGAAAGGCCATTATACAGCATTCTAAAATCTGACTTATCAAAAAGACAGTGGACTAGGGGATCCATGATTTTAGTGATGGATTTAGTCCAGCAATTCAAAATCTAAAGCTGCAAAATCGAAGGAAAATTATGGATACAACTATCAAAATACCTTGCATAAATGTAATGAGGGGACAACAAAAACTTATATACATGTAATAACAATTTTAAAAATTATGGAAATGCCACTGATTACATTTGAAACGCAGCATTCTGTTTTAATTGCTGTTACTCCTTTTCTAAAGGAAATTTCACTTATAACACCTTTATGGAAATAAATGCTTCTGCCACAACTCCATCAGTGACTAAAGATTAATATACAATAATTTTAAAAATTTAAAAAAAAATTATTAACAAGTTTCTTAAACTGGTAAATACAGAAAAACAAATTTGTAAACTCAGGGACCATAATAACCTAGACCCAAAATTTAGGGAGACATCACTTCTCCCTCAGAGAAATTTAGGGAGAAGTTTTAAATTCTATGGAGACTTCTTAGTGCACATTGATCATTATTTAAACTTTAAAAAATTAAATACATGTTAATGTATATACCTTGAATAAATTTATATCCTAAGAATACTGAAAGAGAGTTTTTGTATATTTAAAAAAAAATAATTATTTTATATTTTTCAATTGCAAGGCATATTTATAAAAATGTCTACCTGGAAAACAAAATTATATGTACATTGTCAATCTAAAGTTTTCAACTGACAGACTTAGGTTTATCAGTTATTTCATTTCTTGTATAGTTCATTTACATAATATTTACACTTAAGATTAAAACATTTTTCTCTTTTCATCTCTCCATATTCTCAGAGCCTTATCAAAGTAGCAGATTTGCTACATTCTCTTCAAAGTTCATGTTCAAATTACTTAAGAAATAAACAACAATGTTAAAAAGTTCTCTGGGAAATGAACTTGGTTGGTCACGTGATCAAATCCTGTGAAGCCCGAAGGGCTTCTCAGAAGATTTGATCACATACCAACCAAGTTCATTTCCCAGTGAACTTTTTAACATTGTTGTTTTTTACTTTTATTTACATTTGAGACGAATATTCTGAAAAGAACTGCATTTATTACATGAACGGCCCGTCGTATTGCTATGTTGTGACGCGCAATGACCTAGAAGCTGTTTGATCTTGAGAGTTCGCCTCGCTCCAACATTTGAATACTTACATTGATGTTCAGCAGTCCAGTTCAGGAAATATCTGTTCATAATGAAAAAAAACAATGATCGCTACTGGGAATAATCTTATTATTATTGTATGAGTTCTTTATATATGGAGTCAAAAGCGGTGCTATCGTCTTCAGTTTACATACCTTCAAAGGAATTTCGGGTTAAAAAGGTAAGCGTGATTTTAGGCTAATTAGAAACATTCTTCACACCGAAGAAAGATCTAATGATCATTTGTTGAACGCAAAAATAAATATGTTTCAAATATTTTATCTTTTTCATCGCTTTAACGGCTTAGAAGTGTCACTGTGACAGAAATATGTAGACAAGATATCGTCTCGCTGTGTGATTCGGTTACGCCATGACCTCTGACCCCCTAATAAGTTCATACAGAATTGAACATATTTTCTCTTCCATAGGTTCATCTAAGAAAAATATTTGCAAATGTAAATAATTATTATTATTTCTCTTTTTTGTGTATTTATTAATAAATAAAAACAAAGAATAATAGATTAATTACTATACAATTGTATTATGAAAACTAATAGATCTACTACTGCATGCCGACTGAGCGTCTTTATCATGCAATCAGCCTTGTTTTTCACATGTGTGATCGCCAAAGGCAGTTAACCCTCTCAACACTGTAGACCGATACATGGGTGAATTAAAAAAAAAAAAAAGACCACCAAACTGAAATTTTTTGGAAAAATTCAACTACTTATAATAACATATTTTTCACTTATATCATCATATTGCACGTGCATTCTAGTTCAAAGTCCTGAAGTGGCAATAGAATAGACAATTGGATTAAAAAGTTTCAGAAGTTTTATTGGTAAGATTTCTTTTGAAAAAAGAAAATATCATTACACCTTACAAGACTTTCTAAAATAAATAATCACAAGAAATTATAGTTTTTTATGCTTCAAAATGGTTAAAGGGGTATAAATGATTAAATCTAGACCTTGATTGAGTATCTTCTCTTGTATATGTGACAAAAAATTGGCATTTTGATTGTTACTTTACATTATTTTTTTTTCAATTCTGGTTTGAAAAGTTTTAATATGAAAAAAATATGAAGCAATAAAATTCACATTTTTGTCCGTTCAAGTCAATTCTTTAAATCTAAGCCAAAAAAGAATTTTTATATACAAGTTCTCTTACAAAAAATACTAGATTTTGAGTGACCCTATTTTACATTATTGTGTTGAACTCCTGACATCTGATATGTATTTTATTTAAGTAACATTGTTTTAAAAATTATAACACACAATAACCCATTCTTACTTTGTAAATCAATTTGTCGTTTTGATATTTTTCATCGTTTACGGCAGGGTTTTCATATTTTGAAGACCTTAAAACATGATTATTTGCAAAGTGTAACATATATAAATTGTATTTAAAAATATATGTGAAATGATGAAAACTATTCCCTGAATTGATTGCAAAATTTCTATAATTTGTTGATAGACATAGTGTTTTGAACTTCAAATAGTATCAGACATTTTTTTTCAACTTATATTTTAGTAAAGATAGTTAAAAAGCATTGGTAATTATAAAGCAGTTTTGTTGCACTCCTGACTGCAGTAAAAATTAAAATTAAAACCATAGAACAAAAAAAAAATATATAAAATGTTGGCAACATCAAGTGGTAATGAAATTGTGCAATATTTATAGTCCAATACTTCATAATTAAAACAGATGAAGTATTTAAAATTCGCATTTTACCTGGAATTATTCCCTATCTATGCCAAAACCAGAAGTCTCTTACAAGACTGTAGCTTTACTGGTTTGTACTTATAACGAAGAAAGATAAAAGTAGCACTTGGACTTGAAACTTTGCAACAGCAATAAATAGAACAATGATCC